TAAGGCACACTGAAGATTGGTGCCTGCCACCTGGGTGAAGTTAGTAATTATGCATTCCTGGTCCAAGCATGGCTGAGATCTCATGGCCGGGACTATTGGAAGAAGGTGTTGTCTAGCCATTTGAGCACAGGAAGTGAGAGTCGGGACTCCTAGGACATGTCTGATCACATACAGAGCCAGATTTACACTGGTGAAATTTTGTTCAGTGGAGTTTCTCTGGATTTTCTCGTGGGGTAAATGAGAGTAGATTTAAGCCCCTTCATTTCCTTCCTAGGTCTGCTACTGACCCTTGGACCACGGTTATATCATTTAACCTCTCTCTTCAAAGGTTACCCTTGGGGATAATAACTAGGTAGTAATAATCTCTATTCCACTTGGGGTGTTGTGGGGGTTAGCTAATCTTTGTGAAATGCTTTATTATGTGTATTATAGTAGTGCCTAGAAAGCCCAGCCAAGATCAAGGCCTAGTTGTACTTGTCATCGGCAGGATTGTCATCCCCAGTTTACAGCTGGCAAACTACAGCACAGAGAGATCAAGCGACTTGTCTAAGATTCCCAGTAGGAAGTGTGTGGCAGAGCCAAGAATTGAACCCAAATCTCCTGGGTCCCAGTGTCAGGTATAATTTTTAATTCAAAGGAGAATGAGTGAAGCCATAATCAGAAATCTGGCATATGGCGTCATCTTTGATAAGCAAGTTCTGTCTCTCATCTGCCACATGAACTCAATACGGGCTTATATTTATTTGCCAATATATCACACCACTTCCACAGTCTTTCTGCTGCTCTGTTGTTTCAGTGATTAGTGTCTCCTTTAGCCATGACAATTTTGGAGCCTTCTTGGACACAGGAAAGCTGATAAAAGCAGCCCTGTTAGTGATTTTGTTTTTGTTTTATTTCACATCACAGCAATCCCTGAAAGCTGTCAAGAGCTATCATCTCATCACTCTTCCTCCAAGTGTTTGGCACAAACCAGGAGGAAAAGAACAACATAAATAACAGAGTAAAATTATCCATAAATTGCAGCTCCTTAGATGTCAAGTAGAAATCAAAACAGACAGGCAGGCAGCAGGGAATCAACTGCAACAAAACTTTTACGTTAGTCTCTCTTTGTTCCAAAATCTATAATGTAAATAAACAAGGTCTCTCAAATCCACAGGATGGCAGAGGCAGCCGCTTGTGCTCAGAGAATGGTAAGGGCCAGTGTATCTCAAGTTGCTTAGCAACGGTCCATTTGGTCACTTGGGACCAGACTCAAAGCCCACTGGAAGACTCCCATTGACATCAGTGAGCTTTGGATCAGACCCTTAGGGTCCTGTTCAGAAAAGTGCGTAAGCAAATGCTTAAGTGCTGCTGAAGTCAAGGAAACATAAATGCATGCTTAAAATTAAGCATAATATTCTATTTCATGAATAGAGAGTGTGCTTATGTGCCTTGTGGAATCAGGGCCTAAAAGAACTGCATTGCTTAGCTCTAAAGGGAGTCCCTGCCTTTCAGGACAGAGATTGCCATGTTGTGGTTTTGATGTGGGGCACTCTAAGCGGGGAACGGTTTGGAATGTGGGAGGAATGAGCATAACTGGAGTCAGAAGGATTGGGCACTGTTGTCATTTCCCATGAGAAGGGCTTTGTGAAATCCCCTGTTGTGGGTCAGAGTGAGTTAGTTGGGCCTATTGCTGAAAGAGTCATTCCCAAGACACTGGAATGCTGGTGAGATTTTCTCCAGACTGCCAGCTTTGGTTAATCAACTTTTCCTTTTAGACGTCTAAAGCCTCTGTGCCTGATCGTCAGCTCGTATAAATTGATGTCGCTCTATTGAAGTTAACGGAGCTATGGTGATCTACATGGGCTGACAAACTGGCCTTAAGTTTTCAGCTCTGGACTAAATGGGTACACCCGCAAACCCCAGCATTTGCATGTACACGTGCTTCTGTTTGAACATGCGTTGGTGTGGAGTGATTTTTGAGAGCAGGATCAATGTACTCATAACTAAATGTCTGATGCTAGAGGTGTCTTTGGGGAAATCTAGGATCTTAGGGGCAATGGTGTTGGAAGGACTTCGTATAGCTTTATGCCCTTCATATGGCAAAGAATTTAAGAGGTGATGCTGGAACGGTTGCTGCAATCAAATCTTTCAGCTGCCGCATGAATAATAATGCTTACTAGTGAGACGCACTTCATGCAGATTACAAAGTACAGTCATATACATTCCGTATCAGTCAAGGCAACAAAATAACAATGATAAGGGCTCTGATACGGGGATGACATATGCTGCATTTTATTGGTGCCTTGGAATTTCATAAGCACTGTATTAAAGATAATAGCTAAATGGATTGCAAATGGATGCCTCCGGTGCTCCTGGGGATTTGCACTCGTTACTGCATAATTGAGACATTTGTGTAGCCTTGTTGTGCCCAGTGCTCAGAGGCTGATTCTGAGGTATAGAATCATAGAAATTGGGGAGAGAGAAAAAGCTATGGGGTATTTGCGCCTATTTTCCCTGCTAGGGCAGGAATGTCCTAAGAGTGTATTTCAGTTGTTTTGACCAGTCCAGTTGTAGCTGATTCCAGCCTTGGGATTCTCTGTGGATGCTGTTCCACAGTATAATAGACGTTTATGCTTAAGAGATTTTTCTTCAGCTGTTGTTTCCTTTGCTTATTTTCATTGCTCCTTGAAGCGCACTAAACAATGACTAGGGGGAAGGATGGTACCTGAAGCATGAACACCTAAACAAATTGTTTAGTTAAACTACACCTCTTTGGAAATCTTGGCAGTGACCGCATGATGCATGGATTGGTTAGTGTGTACATATATTGTATATAATTGTGGGAATCATATGGGCTGAATTGTCCCTGGCTCTTGTGCAAGATGTGTGGCAGGAGATAGAATCATACAAATGTAGGGCTGGAAGAGACCTTGAGAAGTCATTAAGTCCAGCCCCTTGTGCTGTGGCAGGACCAAGTTAACCTAGACCATCCCTGACAGATGTTTGTCCAACTTGTTTTTAAAAGCTTCCGATGATGGGGACTCCCCAACCTCCCTTGGAAGCCTATTCCAGAGCTTAACTACCCTTGTCATTGGAAAGTGTTTCCTAATATCTAACCTAAATCTCCCTTGCTGCAGATTAAGCCCATTGGTTCTTGTCCTACCTTCAGTGGACATGGAGAACAATTGGTCACAGTCCTCTTTATAACAGCCCTTAAAATATTGGAAGACTTATCACCCTTCCCCCCCCCCCCCGTCGTCTTGTCTCTGAACTTAAAAGGCCTGTTTTTTTAACCTCTGCTTGTAGGTCAGGTTTTCTAAATCTTTTGGAGCATAAGAAGCTGTTTGACATGCAGGCATCCCACATAAGGACAATTGTAGTCCCTGTGTTTGAAGGAAACACAAGGACTATTTCCTCTATATGACAATCGGCTGATCTCATGGGGCTGGTGTGAGGTATTGCCGCAGCCCTTTACCACCCTGCCAAAGATGTTGGGGAGCAACTGAGGGAACAAGCTAAAACATACTAAAAGATGGTGCAGTCTGTGCACCTTTCCTCAGCCTTGCCTTGAGCTGTGTGGCTCTGCACTGGCCCTCAGAGGGGATGGGGGCAGCGCAGATGCACAATCCAGCCCTAAATAACTGATTAGAGTTATACAAACTGAGTGATTACTTTGCAGTTTCCTTGGATTTTTTTCTCTCTTTCATTTCTGAGGTCTAATGCCCGAGTTTGCGGCTAGCTCTTTCTCTTTCCTTTCCTAGTTCATGATTTGCCTTATGTTCACCCACTTTATGCAGACATTTAATTGATATGCATCTGAAAGAGAATGACACATGTGACTTACTACTATGTGAACATGGTTTCCTTCCCAGCCTTTAATTGATTTTAGATAATAAAGTGCAATTATAAAACTCAATAAAAAATCAGTTATTTTAAAGAGAGAGACTGAAAGAAACCCAAGTGATGCTCTGCTGTGGGACTACTATCAAATGAAATCCCCTTTGTTTAAGTCTATTTAATTTCACAGCTTTACTTGAATTGCTACAGTTCTGTGGGCTTTCTCACAATTATAAACAGCAGGCTGATAAATGAACACATTTTTTAAAAAGTCCCAGTGAATATAGCCACCCTAGATGTTTTTGTGGTGGAGCCTGCCCACACCTTAGTGCAGCCTTTCCACTTTTTATGTATCTGGGGAACCGTGTACTATTGCTTCTCACTTGGTCCTGTTCTAGACCAGCCTAAGGAGTCTTCAAGTTCTCTGCTGAGCATTGAATTATCAAAGTAACTAAGCCACAATACGGGTGATCAGTGTCATTATTTGCAATACTAGTGGAGGGATCCTTTCTCCCACTACAGCCCCTGTATGCGGTAACCCTCCCCCCTTAATTGGCCATGGAGAATTTCCCTAGGACAGGCACTGCCTAGGACAGCCATAAGGAGCACTGTGCAGTCCCTCTTGCAAGCCTTGATGTATGCGGCATACCAGGAGTGGGAGATTGTGTGTCATGGGTAAGAGGCAGAGGGGGTGTAGCACACACTACTTTATGTGCAGTTCTCTGAGCTGCCTAAATAGTGCCTGGGGATATTTTGGCCCACAACCAGACCAGAAATTATGGGAGTTTCACCCTTGCCTCCCAGAGTGCCTGCTTTTCCCTCAGAGAAGGAAGGAAGAAGAGGTTGCCCTTGTGGTTAGGACACTGGACTGAGACTCAGGAGATCTGGGTTCTGACTCTGCCACAGATGCAGCATGTCTTAATCAGGTCACATCATCGTGCCTCAGTTTCCCCATCAGTAAAATGGGGATAATACTGATTCTTTCCTCCACCCTTTGTCTTGTTGTATTTAGTCTGAAAGCAGTTTAGGGGAGGAATGATCTCTTACTCTGTGTGTGTGTGTGTGTGTGTGTGTGTGTGTACAGGGCCTAGTACAATGGGACCTCTAGAGACTACTGTGATATAGATGATAAAAATTATACTAATAAAGGATGCTCTGACCGAGTTTCTTTGTTTTCCCAGCTGGGAGGCTGCGGGATCCTTGGAGTTGGTATCTGGCTGGCTGTTACCCAAGGGAACTTTGCTACCCTCTCCTCTTCTTTCCCATCCCTGTCGGCTGCCAACCTGCTGATTGTCACAGGGACTTTTGTCATGATCATCGGCTTCGTCGGCTGTATAGGTGCCATCAAAGAAAACAAGGGCCTCCTGCTGAGTGTGAGTATGAAGACATGCGCGGTCAGCAGTGGTGTCCATTGTTTCCTGGTTCTGGTGCCATTGCAATGCACGTTAGAGTGATGTACGGTATTTAAGATGCAGACTGGTCAGTTCTGGGCCGGGACGAGGCATGAGTCATGGTTCAGTCATTCTCTGATCTCCCAGGTCATTCCTGACCACACCTGCTTCTATTAACACTTTCGCCAAAGACAAGACGCTCACAAGAAGGGAGGGCTTAGCGATGGTGGTGATGCAATTGTGTGCTTCCTGGGGGCTGAGGGATTTGCCGAGATGGCTTTTGCAGCACACCCTTGAATTCCTTGTCCTTATTCAGCCAACTTTAGCAGCTACATACCTTCAATAGCTACTGTAGTGGGGCTGGTGCTATGAGGGCCTGAGGTGGGGATCATTGGCGAGGGGAGACAGTGCAGGGAGAAGTTATGAGTTTGGCCTAAACTGGAATTGAGATACCACCATTGGTTTTTGCCAGTAGTTAACTTTTAAAAGGTTGGGATGTTGTTTATGCTGTTAAATGAGGTTAAGGGTTAATAAGGTGTGGACGGTCCAGATTTAACTGAGGCCACGGATCTTGCTTGTGTTTTACTGAAACCTGATTTGATGTCATTGCTTTGGTTTACCACAGTTGGTGCCCGTTACAGTTAATGTTGGGTGAATATTTTGTGTAGCATGAGGCTAAAGGGGGATCAGTGAGGTCATGGCATTATGGCCACGCTGTTTATTCAGTCTTAAATATAGGTAGTTTCTCACCTCACAGATGGATTGAATCCAGTGTCCCAGGGTGGAGTGAAGCTGGGACTAGGCCTGGTGAAGTGATTTCTTGGCTGCATTGCAAAGTCTCCTGTGTGAGCTGAAGTTGTTCCCCACCACACACCTCAGCCTGCCAGGGCTCAAATGTGGGGTGAGGTGTGTGAAAGTGACCAGAAATGAGGGACACACAAATTATTCTGTAAAAATATTTTTAGTTCTGTAAAATCCCTTTCTTTAGTGTACAGAAGGCTTTCTGTAGCCTCTGTTTCATGATTCTTTGCTTCTGGTGTATTTTTTAACAATAGAAGTGAGGGGTGACTTTGGCACTAAAACGAGCGATGTCCCTTGAAACCAAGAAGCCTCTGGGGCCTTTTCACCAGGGTGGGATGGAGCGAGTGAGACTGCTCAATGACTTTAATAGCCTTATGGGTGACAAACTTTCTGAATAAGTTACGTGGCTATCATGACAGCCGTGTGGCTAACCCACATGTTTATTGGCTCCATGCTCATGCAACTCTATCCTGCAAGGTGCCGAGTCCCATGGGATTGCTCACATGCTTAAGATGTTTGCTGGATTACGGCCAGAGTACTCAGCTTGCTGTGGGACAGAGCACATTGCTCTTTTGGGGGTCATATTGGGGCAAGGCAGCTAGAAATGTGCCAGTGTCAGGGAGTGATCATTACCACCTGTGGGCTGATAGTGGGTGTCCACCTATGTTGTTGGAGTTGGGGAAAAATCTTGATCAGCTTCCAGTTAGTGGAAGCATCAGTGTAGAGTCTAGGTGGAAATCCTCTGGATGGACTCTTAGATTTGGACCTTACTCCCCCCCAACCTTTAATAGCTTTAACCTGTTGGCCTTCAGGGTGCCATATGCGGATGATCCCTTTACCAAGTCTAGAATTTTCAGGGGAGCCTAAGTTAGTTACCAGCTCCTGCTGACTGTTCATGAGATTCAGAACTCTCATGGGTGCTTTTGACAATCCCACTGCCAGCCCTTTTGGGGAGGGACAGGGATGACGGGGCTGCTGCTTGTGGGTGAGATGGGGTATTGTGTGGGTCTGCTTCCACTTTATTATTATATTCTGGTTCACACTGCTGGTTTGGTTTGATTAAATTGTAATTTTAATTAATCATAGAAGTGCCTATAGCTTGGGACAGGTGTGTTTTTTTTCCTAGATAAATTATAAATCAAAATAAATTCATGAACATCATACCCCCAAGATGATCTTCTACCAAAAAAGGGCTGGAATCTCTCTGGGTGCCCTTTAAAAATCCTGACCTCTTGCCCCAAAACACACAAAGTGAGGTTTGTTCAGCTTCTCTGCTCTTAGTTCTGTGCCTTCCCTTCTGTGCCACTTTTTAAAGGGAATGTTCCTGTGAAATCAGTGGTTTGTCAGGACATGCCTGCTAATTTTGGCAATGGGAAAGCAGTTAAGAGTTGGAAATCTTCTCTGCACATGACTCACACTGTGTTTAGCAATCATGAAAGGGGCGAGTCCTTAAACTCCCTTCGATGTCTCCCAGGGCATGTCTTTACATCTAGCCTTGTTTCTGGCCTCAAGTCTATTCTTATTTAAACCTAATTCCTTTGACTGTCTGCTTGGTCCTTTCTGAATGATGTGACATCACTGCAGATAGAGGTTTGTCGTGGCTGTGATGTCAGTGACACATTTCTTAGACCGTGCACAATATGGTAGAATTTTGTTTTGTTAATAGCATCTCTCATGCTAACTATTTTTTAAAAAGTCAGTCTGGGATTTCCAAAGGAGCCTAAGGGTTTTAGGCATCCAACACCCATTACATTTCAATGAGATCAGAGTACCTAACTCCTTTAAGCCACTTTGGAAATACCAGCCTAAAATAATAAGTAGTTGCAGTGGGGGTGAAAAGGTATATTTAGGGTGGGCTGATGGAGCTGGTTTAATACTATTAATTGAACACACTGCTTGATTAAATTGGCTGCTTGTCACTGAATAACGTATTTGACTAATTCATTGTTCTGAGAATTAGCCAGCTCTAGTGGTCCATGAGAGAGGAGGCAAATATGGGGAGGTAGGTGGGTAGCAGAGATTGGCAAAGTCTTTGAAGGAGGCTGGAGCAAGTTTATGATGGGCTTAAAAACAAAGAAGAAATTATTCACTGGATTCTGACATGAAAGGGGAAACAATAGCGTTGTTGGAAGATGAGGGTGTATTCCTTCTTCATGGCTCATGTCAGAAATGAGGCTGTGGCATTCTGCCAGTGTTGGAGTCTGGAAAGGTGGAATTTGGGGAGGCCATAAAGAAAAGGCGTTGCGATCATCAAAACTAGAGGAGTATTTCCAGGAATGCTGTAAGGGTATGGCATGTTGGCAGGTATCCGGGTTTCACCAAGTATCCATGGAGAGATGCTGATTTCACTCAGTAGAATACCTGCACATCTCCAGTTAGCACTTTTCATTTACCTCCCTCCAGTCTCTTCTCAGTACAGTATGGGAGTAAGACGTGATCATGAAATACTAACCATAACCGGCAGTAAAGCTCCCCTAATGGTACAGTCATCTTACTCTCCTGCTGCTCTGTCCATGTGTCTCTCTTCTCTAAATCCTTCACTGTCTTCCTCTCATATTCCACATCAAGATAATTCCCTTGAAGTCTCCTTCAAGAGCCTCATAACTGCACCTAGAGATGAGCTTGGGACTATGCAAACCATGAAGACACATGCAGTATTCCCAAGACCAAATCAGAGTTTCTGCTGCTGTCACCTGCACTGCATCCCCTCAGATTGCTCAAATGGCAGGTCTGTTTCCTCCTGCTTTCCCCTGCTGGCCACCTCTAGATCTGCATGGATTGGAGAAGGCTCCTATTGTCCTGATTCCTCCTACCGTCCCCCACGGGCTCCCAAGAGCAGCTGAAAGGGGAGAAGTCAGCACCTAGAGGTTGGGCAGAGGTAGGGGGACAGGAGCTGCACAGGGGGTTATAGTATCTGTGGCGGGGGGGAGGATTCTAAGGTGCTGTGGGGGTCAGAAGCTAAGATGGATGATGCCAGAGAGCAAGAACTTAAAAGGCTAGGAGCTGAGATTGAGCAGGGAGAGGTGTTGGGGAGCAGAAGATGGAGAATACTGGGATAAGAGGTGGGAGTAGGACCTGGTTGTGTGAAGGAGCAGAAGCCACATGGTGGTGGGCAGTAGGGGGCTGAGTAAGGGTCTGGGCGTTCAGAGCTTATCCTATTCATGCACTAAGGGAAGTGGTACTGGTTAGTGGTGTGGCAGGAGATGGCGTTTTTGTGAAGAGCAAGGAGGTTGGAGTGCCGGGAGAAGTGAACGGTGGGAGAGGGCATGCTAACCCATTTATATGGTGTATGCTGGGTTGGAGGGAGGCCCAGAATCTGACCCTATATCTGCATGCCCTCTGGCATGTGACCTGGGCATTGCATTTGTCTGAATGCAATTGTGAGCTCTTCAGTGCGAAGATCCTGTAGTGTTCTTATATGAATGACAGTAATGGCTGGGTCTGGCATGTGTAACAGTGCCAGGGAGCAGGAGAGGGGGGAATCTGTAAGTGGCAGAGAGGGGAGGGAGCAGAGAGATCTAAACAGAAATAAAACATTAAAACAAATGGGGTTTGTGAATACTCAGAAATAATCCATACAGACATACTGAGCCAGATGCCCCGCTGGTCTGAATCAGCACAGCTTCAATGGAACTGCATTGATTTCCACCAACCCAAGGATCTGACCCATTTCTTTATTCATCATCCTGACCAGTCCTTGTGACTGCCTCACTAAACAAACACATTCACATTATTGAGCACTCTGAGGAACCTTATGGAAACCTGAACTAAAGTGAGAACAAAATTCTTTTTGTAAGGAAACCTTGAGCCTGGCCTACATTCTGCATTCATATGAAGACAGGGTGAATGCGCACATGCCATCATGTCAAAATGTCATTGAACAAATAGCGGATACCGACAACGATCCTTATATGCTCCAGCTCTGATGTGAAGGAAGATAAACTCTCCCAGCATTAGGTTTCCCTAGGGAAATCAGAAGCATGAGTATCTCGTGAAATAAATAGACACCCCAGCGGTGTGTAATCTCACAACTGAATGCAGAGGCAAGTTGATGGCTGAAGCTGGGGAACAGCTCTCACTTGGTTTCAGAGAGAGACATTCCGTGGCATTGCCTTTCTTTGGTTTCTGAAAACGTTACAACAGAAGCTCGTCTCTTTGCAAACACTGTTGGGTCTTGGAAGCCGAGTGCCCCTAATGATCATCATGCTGCAGTGTAAGGGCAGCAGTTGTTGACAAGTGAAATTTGGTGAGCTGGAGACCACTGTCCTGAGCAGGTGACTGAACCACCAACAGTCTATTCCTCTCTGGGCCTGAAATATAGCTTATGCTGTAAGGGTCTGATCCAGGGCTCATTGAAGGCAATAGAACCACTCCCACTGGTTTTAATGGACATTTGATCAGGATCTAAGGGGTGATCTCAACATACAGCAAATCTTTATAAACTACTTTGCGGTAAGATGGGAGTGCAGTTCTGCTTCCTCCTGGGATTGTGTCTGTTCTCACTGAAGGCTTTGAGCACCAATGCTCATCACCGTCCATGTGTTCCATCTCTCCCTATAATCTCTACGTGGCATGCTGAATCCATTGTAACATACTGGCAGGTGTGTTTGTGTGTGTGCCAATGCACACATGCCTATGTGCTCGCATACACAGTTGTTCTTTGCTAAATAGAGTCACATTTGCTCAAGTTCTTGTGACTATGTTTCCCGACCTATAAAAATCTCTAAGGGTATGTCTACACTACGAAATTAGGTCGAATTTATAGAAGTCGGTTTTTTAGAAATCGGTTTTATATATTCGAGTGTGTGTGTCCCCACAGAAAATGCTCTAAGTGCATTAAGTGCATTAACTCGGCGGAGCGCTTCCACAGTACCGAGGCAAGCGTCGATTTCCGGAGCGTTGCACTGTGAGTAGCTATCCCACAGTTCCCGCAGTCTCCGCTGCCCATTGGAATTCTGGGTTGAGATCCCAATGCCTGATGGGGCTAAAACATTGTCGCGGGTGGTTCTGGGTACGTGTCGTCAGGCCCCCGTTCCCTCCCTCCCTCCGTGAAAGCAAGGGCAGACAATCATTTCGTGCCTTTTTTCCTGAGTTACCTGTGCAGACGCCATACCACAGCAAGCATGGAGCCAGCTCAGGTAACCGTCACCCTATGTCTCCTGGGTGCTGGCAGACGCGGTACGGCTTTGCTGCACAGTAGCAGCAACCCATTGCCTTCTGGCAGCAGACGGTGCAATACGACTGGTAGTCGTCCTCGTCGTGTCCGAGGTGCTCCTGGCCACGTCGGCTGGGAGCGCCTGGGCAGACATGGGCACAGGGACTAAATTTGGAGTGACTTGACCAGGTCATTCTCTTTAGTCCTGCAGTCAGTCCTATTGAACCGTCTTATGGTGAGCGGGCAGGCGATACGGACTGCTAGCAGTCGTACTGTACCATCTTCTGCCAGGCAGGCAAGAGATGAGGATTGCTAGCAGTCGTATTGTACCATCTTATGCCAGGCAGGCAAGAGATGAAGATGGCTAGCAGTCGTACTGTACCATCTTCTGCCGAGCAGCCATGAGATGTGGATGGCATGCAGTCCTTCTGCACCGTCTGCTGCCAGCCAAAGATGTAAAAGATAGATGGAGTGGGTCAAAACAAGAAATAGACCAGATTTGTTTTGTACTCATTTGCCTCCTCCCCTGTCTAGATCACACTGCAGTCACTCACAGAGAAGGTGCAGCGAGGTAAATCTAGCCATGTATCAATCAGAGGCCAGGCTAACCTCCTTGTTCCAATAACAACGATAACTTAGGTGCACCATTTCTTATTGGAACCCTCCATGCAGTCCTGCCTGAAATACTCCTTGATGTACAGGCACACCCTTTGTTGATTTTAGCTCCCTGAAGCCAACCCTGTAAGCCGTGTCATCAGTCGCCCCTCCCTCCGTCAGAGCAACGGCAGACAATCGTTCCGCGCCTTTTTTCTGTGCGGACGCCATACCAAGGCAAGCATGGAGGCCGCTCAGCTCACTTTGGCAATTAGGAGCACATTAACCACCACACGCATTATCCAGCAGTATATGCAGCACCAGAACATGGCAACGCGATACCGGGCGAGGAGGCGACGTCAGCGCGGTCCCGTGAGTGATCAGGACATGGACACAGATTTCTCTGAAAGCATGGGCCCTGACAATGCATGCATCATGGTGCTAATGGGGCAGGTTCATGCTGTGGAACGCCGATTCTGGGCTCGGGAAACAAGCACAGACTGGTGGGACCGCATAGTGTTGCAGGTCTGGGACGATTCCCAGTGGCTGCGAAACTTTCGCATGCGTAAGGGCACTTTCATGGAACTTTGTGACTTGCTTTCCCCTGCCCTGAAGCGCATGAATACCAAGATGAGAGCAGCCCTCACAGTTGAGAAGCGAGTGGCGATAGCCCTGTGGAAGCTTGCAATGCCAGACAGCTACCGGTCAGTTGGGAATCAATTTGGAGTGGGCAAATCTACTGTGGGGGCTGCTGTGATGCAAGTAGCCCACGCAATCAAAGATCTGCTGATATCAAGGGTAGTGACCCTGGGAAATGTGCAGGTCATAGTGGATGGCTTTGCTGCAATGGGATTCCCTAACTGTGGTGGGGCTATAGACGGAACCCATATCCCTATCTTGGCACTGGAGCACCAAGCCGCCGAGTACATAAACCGCAAGGGGTACTTTTCGATAGTGCTGCAAGCTCTGGTGGATCACAAGGGACGTTTCACCAACATCAACGTGGGATGGCCGGGAAAGGTGCATGATGCTCGCATCTTCAGGAACTCTGGTCTGTTTCAAAAGCTGCAGGAAGGGACTTTATTCCCAGACCAGAAAATAACTGTTGGGGATGTTGAAATGCCTATATGTATCCTTGGGGACCCAGCCTACCCCTTAATGCCATGGCTCATGAAGCCGTACACAGGCAGCCTGGACAGTAGTCAGGAGCTGTTCAACTACAGGCTGAGCAAGTGCAGAATGGTGGTAGAATGTGCATTTGGACGTTTAAAGGCGCGCTGGCGCAGTTTACTGACTCGCTTAGACCTCAGCGAAACCAATATTCCCACTGTTATTACTGCTTGCTGTGTGCTCCACAATATCTGTGAGAGTAAGGGGGAGACGTTTATGGCGGGGTGGGAGGTTGAGGCAAATCGCCTAGCTGCTGGTTACGCGCAGCCAGACACCAGGGCGGTTAGAAGAGCACAGGAGGGCGCGGTACGCATCAGAGAAGCTTTGAAAACCAGTTTCATGACTGGCCAGGCTACGGTGTGAAAGTTCTGTTTGTTTCTCCTTGATGAAACCCCCCGCCCCTTGGTTCACTCTACTTCCCTGTAAGCTAACCACCCTCCCCTCCTCCCTTTAATCATTGCTTGCAGAGGCAATAAAGTCATTGCTGCTTCACAGTCATGCATTCGTTATTCATTCATCACACAAATAGGGGGATGACTACCAAGGTATCCCAGGAGGGGTGGTGGAGGAGGGAAGGAAAATGCCACACAGCACTTTAAGCACAGCACTTTAAAAGTTTACAACTTTAAAATTTATTGAATGACAGCCTTCTTTTTTTTGGGCAATCCTCTGTGGTGGAGTGGCTGGTTGGCCAGAGGCCCCCCCACCGCGTTCTTGGGCGTCTGGGTGTGGAGACTATGGAACTTGGGGAGGAGGGCGGTTGGTTACAGAGGGGCAGCAGTGGCAGTCTGTGCTCCAGCTGCCTTTGCTGCAGCTCAACCATACACTGGAGCATACTGGTTTGGTCCTGCAGCAGCCTCAGCATTGAATCCTGCCTCCTCTCATCACGCTGCCGCCACATTTGAGCTTCAGCCCTGTCTTCAGCCCGCCACTTACTCTCTTCAGCCCTCCACCTCTCCTCCCGGTCATTTTGTGCTTTCCTGCACTCTGACATTATTTGCCTCCACGCATTCGTCTGTGCTCTGTCAGTGTGGGAGGACAGCATGAGCTCGGAGAACATTTCATCGTGAGTGCGTTTTTTTTTCTTTCTAATCTTCACTAGCCTCTGGGAAGGAGAAGATCCTGTGATCATTGAAACACATGCAGCTGGTGGAGAAAAAAAAAGGGACAGCGGTATTTAAAAAGACACATTTTATAAAACAGTCGCTACCCTCTTTCAGGGTAAACCTTGCTGTTAACATTACATACATAGCACATGTGCTTTCGTTACAAGGTCGCATTTTGCCTCCTCCCACCGCGTGACTACCCCCCCTCAACCTTCTCCCCTCCCTGTGGCTAACAGCGGGAACATTTCTGTTTAGCCACAGGCAAACAGCCCAGCAGGAATGGGCTCCTCTGAGTGTCCCCTGAAGAAAAGCACTCTATTTCAACCAGGTGACCATGAATTATATCTCACTCTCCTGAGGATAACACAGAGAGATAAAGAACAGATTTTGGTTGAATGCCAGCAAACATACACTGCAATGCTTTGTTCTACAGTGATTCCCGAGTACGTGTTACTGGCCTGGAGTGGTAAAGTGTCCTACCATGAAGGACGAAATAAGGCTGCCCTCCCCAGAAACCTTTTGCAAAGGCTTTAGGACTACATCTAGGAGAACCGCAAATGCCAGGGCAAAGTAATCCTTTCACATGCTTGCTTTTAAACCATGTATAGCATTTTAAAAGGTACACTCACCAGAGGTCCCTTCTCCGCCTGCTGGGTCCAGGAGGCAGCCTTGGGTGGGTTCGGGGGTACTGGCTCCAGGTCCAGGGTGAGAAACAGTTCCTGGCTGTCGGGAAAACCGGTTTCTCCACTTGCTTGCTGTGAGCTATCTACAACCTCCTCATCATCATCATCTTCTTCGTCCCCAAAACCTACTTCCGTATTGCCTCCATCTCCATTGAAGGAGTCAAACAACACGGCTGGGGTAGTGGTGGCTGAACCCCCTAAAATGGCATGCAGCTCATCATAGAAGCGGCATGTTTGGGGCTCTGACCCAGAGCGGCTGTTCGCCTCTCTGGTTTTCTGGTAGGCTTGCCTCAGCTCCTTCAGTTTCACGCGGTACTGCTTCGGGTCCCTGTTATGGCCTCTGTCCTTCATGCCCTGGGAGATTTTCAGAAAGGTTTTGGCATTTCGAAAACTGGAACGGAGTTCTGATAGCACGGATTCCTCTCCCCAAACAGCGATCAGATCCCGTACCTCCCGTTCGGTCCATGCTGGAGCTCTTTTGCGATTCTGGGACTCCATCATGGTCACCTGTGCTGATGAGCTCTGCATGGTCACCTGCAGCTTGCCACGCTGGCCAAACAGGAAATGAGATTCAAAAGTTCGCGGTTCTTTTCCTGTCTACCTGGCCAGTGCATCTGAGTTGAGAGCGCTGTCCAGAGCGGTCAGAATGGAGCACTCTGGGATAGCTCCCGGAGGCCAATACCATCGAATTGTGTCCACAGTACCCCAAATTCGAGCCGGCAACGTCGATTTAAGCGCTAATCCACTTGTCAGGGGTGGAGTAAGGAAATCGATTTTAAGAGCCCTTTAAGTCGAAATAAAGGGCTTCATTGTGTGGACGGGTGCAGGTTTAAATCGATTTAACGCTGCTAAATTCGACCTAAAGTCCTAGTGTAGACCAGGGCTAAATGAGTAGCAGCCAATGAAGCTCAAGTGGTAAAGGCCTGTGTTTACGGAAGTGAACTGCCTGAATTCTGTCAGTATCCTTCATATAAGTGGTTAGCGGGAATCTATCGTAGTTTTATGTTTGCAACCATGAAGTCATTATACCATGCATAATGCATGGTAAAAAAAAAAAAAATCCCAGCTGTGGCTTTTAAATAATGATTGATTTATATTATTATTAATTTGTATTAAAGTAGTCCCTAGGGACTACAGTTGAGATCAGGGGCCAGTTGTGTTAGGTTCTGTACAAACTCTTCGTGAGAGACAGTCTTGCCCTGGAGAGCTTACTATCTAAATCAGAGGTGGGCAAACTATATGGCCCGCGGCCCCCCCGGCCCCTCCCCCACAGCCTCAGCTCACTGCGCCGCCAGCAGAATGGTCTGGGTGGGGGGGCTGCGAGCTCCTGGGGCAGCGCAGCTGCAGAGCCTGGCCTGACCCGGTGCTCGGTGCTGCGCGGTGCATGGCTGGCTCCAGCTACCGGTGCTCCAGGCAGCACAGTAAGGGGGCAGGGAGCGGGGATGTTGGATAGAGAGGAGGGGAGTTTGTGGGGGGTGGGGTGGTCGGGGGCAGGGGTGTGGATAGGAGTCAGGGTGGTCAGAGGGCGGGGAACGGGGGGTTGAATGGGGGCAGGGGTCCCGGGCGGAGGTTGGATGGGGCGGCAGGGGTTCCGAGGGGCGGTCAGGGAGAAGGCGTGATTGGATGGGGCAGGGGTCCCTAGGAGGCAGTCAGGGAGAAGGGGTGGTTGGATGGGGCAGGAGTCCCGGGGCAGGAGTCCCGGGGGCGGGGGGACGTGTTACTGGCCTGGAGTGGTAAAGTGTCCTACCATGAAGGACGAAATAAGGCTGCCCTCCCCAGAAACCTTTTGCAAAGGCTTTAGGACTACATCTAGGAGAACCGCAAATGCCAGGGCAAAGTAATCCTTTCACATGCTTGCTTTTAAACCATGTATAGCATTTTAAAAGGTACACTCACCAGAGGTCCCTTCTCCGCCTGCTGGGTCCAGGAGGCAGCCTTGGGTGGGTTCGGGGGGTACTGGCTCCAGGTCCAGGGTGAGAAACAGTTCCTGGCTGTCGGGAAAACCGGTTTCTCCACTTGCTTGCTGTGAGCTATCTACAACCTCCTCCTCCTCATCATCTTCTTCGTCCCCAAAACCTACTTCCGTATTGCCTCCATCTCCATTGAAGGAGTCAAACAACACGGCTGGGGTAGTGGTGGCTGAACCCCCTAAAATGGCATGCAGCTCATCATAGAAGCGGCATGTTTGGGGCTCTGACCCAGAGCGGCTGTTCGCCTCTCTGGTTTTCTGGTAGGCTTGCCTCAGCTCCTTCAGTTTCACGCGGCACTGCTTCGGGTCCCTGTTATGGCCTCTGTCCTTCATGCCCTGGGAGATTTTCAGAAAGGTTTTGGCATTTCGAAAACTGGAACGGAGTTCTGATAGCACGGATTCCTCTCCCCAAACAGCGATCAGATCCCGTACCTCCCGTTCAGTCCATGCTGGAGCTCTTTTGCGATTCTGGGACTCCATCATGGTCACCTGTGCTGATGAGCTCTGCATGGTCACCTGCAGCTTGCCACGCTGGCCAAACAGGAAATGAGATTCAAAAGTTCGTGGTTCTTTTCCTGTCTACCTGGCCAGTGCATCTGAGTTGAGAGCGCTGTCCAGAGCGGTCAGAATGGAGCACTCTGGGATAGCTCCCGGAGGCCAATACCATCGAATTGTGTCCACAGTACCCCAAATTCGAGCCGGCAACGTCGATTTAAGCGCTAATCCACTTGTCAGGGGTGGAGTAAGGAAATCGATTTTAAGAGCCCTTTAAGTCGAAATAAAGGGCTTCATTGTGTGGACGGGTGCAGGTTTAAATCGATTTAACGCTGCTAAATTCGACCTAAAGTCCTAGTGTAGACCAGGGCTAAATGAGTAGCAGCCAATGAAGCTCAAGTGGTAAAGGCCTGTGTTTACGGAAGTGAACTGCCTGAATTCTGTCAGTATCCTTCATATAAATGGTTAGCGGGAATCTATCGTAGTTTTATGTTTGCAACCATGAAGTCATTATACCATGCATAATGCATGGTAAAAAAAAAAAAAATCCCAGCTGTGGCTTTTAAATAATGATTGATTTATATTATTATTAATTTGTATTAAAGTAGTCCCTAGGGACTACAGTTGAGATCAGGGGCCAGTTGTGTTAGGTTCTGTACAAACTCTTCGTGAGAGACAGTCTTGCCCTGGAGAGCTTACTATCTAAATCAGAGGTGGGCAAACTATATGGCCCGCGGCCCCTCCCCTACTGTTCCCCTCCCCCACAGCCTCAGCTCACTGCGCCGCCAGCAGAATGGTCTGGGTGGGGGGGCTGCGAGCTCCTGGGGCAGCGCAGCTGCAGAGCCTGGCCTGACCCGGTGCTCGGTGCTGCGCGGTGCATGGCTGGCTCCAGCTACCGGTGCTCCAGGCAGCACAGTAAGGGGGCAGGGAGCGGGGATGTTGGATAGAGAGGAGGGGAGTTTGTGGGGGGTGGGGTGGTCGGGGGCAGGGGTGTGGATAGGAGTCAGGGTGGTCAGAGGGCGGGGAACGGGGGGTTGAATGGGGGCAGGGGTCCCGGGCGGAGGTTGGATGGGGCGGCAGGGGTTCCGAGGGCGGTCAGGGAGAAGGCGTGATTGGATGGGGCAGGGGTCCCTAGGAGGCAGTCAGGGAGAAGGGGTGGTTGGATGGGGCAGGAGTCCCGGGGCAGGAGTCCCGGGGCGGGGGGGGGGGGGGTCAGGGGGCGAGAAGCAGGGCAGGGACTGGGCCACGGCTGGCTGTTTGGGGAGGCACAGCCTCCTCTAACCAGCCCCCCATACAATTTCCAAAACCCAATGCGGCCCTAAGGCCAAAAAGTTTACCCGCCCCTGATCTAAATAGTCAAGGCAAATGGGAAGCAGCATTATCCTCATTAAACAGATGGGAAGCTGCAGCATGCTGAAATTAAGTGACTTGCCCAAGGTCACACAAAGAGTCTTCAGAAGAGCTATCAGCTGAACCCAAATCTTTCAAGTCCCAGTTCAGTGCCTTAAACACAAAACCATCCTTTCTCTGTTTAGGGCAGTGTGCTTCTAGAGGCTCAGTCTACTGCACTAGACCTTAAACAAGCTTTTAGTTTTCTAAAAAAAGTCATTTATCATAGAATCATAGAATATCAGGGTTGGAAGGGACCTCAGGAGGTCATCTAGTCCAACCCCCTGCTCAAAGCAGGACCGATCCCCAATTAAATCATCCCAGCCAGGGCTTTGTCAAGCCTGACCTTAAAAACGTCTAAGGAAGGAGATTCCACCACCTCCCTAGGTAACGCATTCCAGTGTTTCACCACCCTCCTAGTGAAAAAGTTTTTCCTAATATCCAACCTAAACCTCCCCCACTGCAACTTGAGACCATTACTCCTTGTCCTGTCCTCTTCTACCACTGAGAATAGTCTAGAACCATCCTCTCTGGAACCACCTCTCAGGTAGTTGAAAGCAGCTATCAAATCCCCCCTCATTCTTCACTTCTGCAGACTAAACAATCCCAGTTCCCTCAGCCTCTCCTCATAAATCATGTGTTCCAGTCCCCTAATCATTTTTGTTGCCCTCCGCTGGACTCTTTCCAATTTTTCCACATCCTTCTTGTAGTGTGGGGCCCAAAACTGGACACAGTACTCCAGATGAGGCCTCACCAGTGTCGAATAGAGGGGAACGATCACGTCCCTCAATCTGCTGGCAATGCCCCTACTTATACATCCGAAAATGCCATTGGCCTTCTTGGCAACACGGGCACACTGTTGACTCTTGTCTCTTTTTGCTGTTAGGCTAAAAGATGAGTAAATACCCCAAAACAGAGCTATGACTCAGCTTTTATCTTGCTGAAAGTGGCTAATTGGCTCCATTACCTAATTACCCTGAGCCCTGCTCCAAACTGGTAGCCAGTCAGCCTAATAACAAAACTACCTTCAATTAACTGTGAAGCAGGAGATTCACAGAAGCCCTGTGGAAGTAGCTCCTGACCATTACTTTATGCAAAACCTTTGAAAACAGGAATCCATGCTCAATCCCCATAATTAGAGCCATTGGTAAAGTTAGTGTTCTTTCCTTGGAGAGTTTTTGTGGTTATTTAACACACACTCCAATATCCATGATACTTGAAACCATTTTGTGTTTTAAGACAAATAATAGCCATCCTCCTGGAAGGAGGCAGGGTTCATAAGGAATTAGAACCCTTTTTAGCATCCTCTTTCATGCTGCCCGTTTGTTCAGGGTTTGGTGCAACGAACCAGATCCTTGGCCCCAGAACTGGCCATGGAAAGTGGCAAGTCAGCTGATTGAGAGGGACAGCCAAGGCTTCTGTTTTTGTACGGAAATCCTTTGGGGGAGGGGGAAATAAAGGCAGCATAGTTGGCTCTACACCACCAACACCCCCCTCCGCTGCATGTGTGTCAGGAGTGGGCAAGGCCATGCTGCACAACCACGTGGGACACCAATCCTTATCTGGGGCAGCCATCTCTAGTGAGCCATTGCGGCCAACATCTAAATTACACTGTGACGTAGGAAATGTCTATGCTGTAATTGGGAGGTCTGATTGCAGCAGGTGTAGACCTCCCTGAGCTAGCTTGAGTAATAATAACATCGAAGCTGTGGCTGCAAAGGTGGTTGTGTGAACTAGCCCCACCGCCTGGGACCCTGGGTAAATACTTGAGCGGCTGACACCCGTGCTACTGCTCCTTCCCTGCTGTGGTTTCTTGAGCTATCTAGATCAAAGCTAGCTTAGATATGTCTGCACGTTTTGTAGTCTCACCTCTCAATTGCCTTAAGAAGCTATTTAATCCCCCAGTCAGACTGAGGAGGAGTGGAAAGGTGGGTTAGATCCATCTTATTTCTCCTTCCCTTGAACTGCACCAAAGTGAGGCTAGGACGAGAACCAATGGGCTTAAATTGCAGCAAGGGTAGTTTAGATTGGGCATTAGGAAAAGCTCCCTGTCAGAGTGGTTAAGCACTGAATAAATTGCCTAGGGAGGTTGTGGAATCTCCATCCTTGGAGATTTTTAAGAGCAGGTTAGACAAACACCTGTCAGGGATGGTCTAGTTATTACTTAGTCAGGCCATGAGTGTACGGGACTGGACTAGAAGACCTCTCAAAGTTCCTTCCTACAGTTCTATGATTCTAAGATGGAGCCCAGAATATATAGAAAAAAATCTACCCATTCATTCTATCCTGTACAGGATGTATGCGTTTGAATAGTGCTCTATTTGAAAGTGCTAATAGGGCAGCAATGAAGGGGGTTCGTGGAGCAAGAGGAGCTGAAGAGTGGTTAATTAGAAGGTTAATAAAAGAGAAAGATCATTAAAAGATGGAACTACATGATCAGTTCCATTTAGTAAATGAGAACCTCATGTAAATAAGGAATAATTCCAATAAAGTCACTAGTGTAAACAAGATCAGAATCAGGCCATGAGACTGTTTGCTCAGCACTATCTGCAAAAAGATCCTGGACCAAGCCTTATGTCTACACTACGAGCTAGGGGTGTGATTCCCCAGCTCACATCCACATACTCCCGATATCTCAATGAGAGCTTCAGGTGGGTCTGTACTTGGCACTGCAGCTACTATCTCTGCTCCCACGGCTACGCTATTATTTATGCTCACGGTGACTCTCGTCTACTACCATGAGTATGTGTACATGAGCTGGGGAATCACACCGCTAGCTTGTAGCATAGAGGTAGCCCAACAGGCAACTGCTTACAAATGGTCTCATACTGCAGAATATCTTATCTATGGAATAGCCTCTGTGGGGAAACTGACTGTCCCTCAGGTTTTGTACTGTGCATTCAGGGTTTCTTTGTACTCAACCCCAGCTCATCTGTGAGCAGAGATAGAAATGAAGAAAACAAGGAAGAAAGGTAATGACTGGGAAGAAGAAGAGAACCAAAAAAAGTGCTTTCCAGCAGCATCATTGCAAAAAGCTACCCTACCAAAAAGCTAACAGCCAAAACTCTATCGGTGACCGAATTTATCTTGGCTCAGATAAATAGGAGAGCAAAAAGCACCATGAATGACTTCCTTTCAGTAATATTCTGCCACAGACCAAGTAGCAGATATTAAGTCCCATTTAGTATTTCAGCCTCTTTTCCATTAATGGCCTGAGACAGGGCCAGTAACAGAGAAAAATCCTGGCTGCAAATAGAGCTATTGGTGGACAAGAGATGCAAAGACCCTCAGAGGATCAAGAAGACAAAGAGAACATAGATCTGTAGCTCCAAATGTAACCTTACAATGTCATTCACCATAGACTACTCCTTCTACACCAAATTGCAGCACTTTCTTAATATAGATCAATATGATATCAATACTAGCAGATATGCTATCTGACCATAATAAACATAGAGAGGTTTCTTTTGTTCCATTACCAAGAAAGTGATTTGATAGCAATCAAATGCTATAATACTGTAATGTACAGATGTCAATGGAGCTACGCTGATTTATGCTAGCAAGGGTCTGGTCCCTTTATTTAAGTGACTGGCTGGTGATGTTGTTCCTGAGTGATGAATTTTTGATAATCTGTTTGCTGCCAGTTGCTGGCAGGCTGTAATTAATATAGGCTTCTAAAACATTATAAATACATCCAGAGAGCTCAGTGTTGACTTCAGTAGAGCTAGGCTGATTTGCACTCGCTGAGGATCTGGTCCATAGAGTCACTTCCTTCTCCTTCCTGTCTAGCTGCTGAGTTCAGTGTCACTTTTCTTGTATTAAAATGGAAACCTGGGCCCCACCCATTTTATCAGGAGGCACAGAAACTCAAAGTCTGGGCTTGCCCCAGGGCTATGGCACAAGTTAAAACACGTCTCACTAATAAAGCCTAAACTGGCTTCAGACAGGCAGAAGGATTCGCTTGGCCTTTTAAGGAGAGGG